ACTGAACTTTTGAAGAAGTTCCTGCCAGTTGCGCTCAAAACCTTTCTTTTCAGTTTCAAATCTCTCTCTCTCGTTATCAAGAGTTTTCTGTAGGTTTTTAAGCTTTTGAGCCATGGGAAATATACACGGTTCCTCATCAGTTTTAGCAATACCTACTCTTGGGGGAGGGTCTAGAGGGTGTCCTATGTGAGGAATATCTTTAGCATAAGGGTCAAGGCATTCACTAAAGCAGGAAGTAGGTTTTTCTTCTGAAAGTTGTTTTTCATTTACAGATGGATAATCACAAGAAATCGCAGATTTTGGATTCTTTCTCTTTTCTTCTTCTGCTTTAGCGTTTTCTTCATCACTTCGAAAATACATTTTCTCGCCAAACCCTAGTCCCATGTAATCTTTGTTATAGATTTGAAGACAGTTAACTTTCTTTAGATTACGTGGGTTGGTTATGCCCAGTCCTGTTTTAGCATTGTAAAATCGGTCATCCTTTTGTTTGCTGTTAAGCAGAAAAACTGTTTGTTCTGATTGACCTCTTCTAGCAGCTAGATCCTCTAGTTCTTTTACTTTATTTAAAAGTGTTCTTCTCTTGTTATGCAAAAAATCGCATTCAGCCTTTGCTGTGCATTTTTCCCGTTCACTGTCCTCAAATTTCTTAGTTAATTCAGCTATCTTAAGTTCAAAGCTTTCAAAATATGAGGACACCTTTTTGACCTGATCTTTTGCAATTTCAAGTTGAACGCTTAAGGAAGACTTTTGGTCTAGATTCTATTTCAGTACTCTATGATTATTGTCTAGTCTCTCCTTTAGTTCTTTGATTAGATTTTCCTTCTCAAGTAAGGATTGCATTTGATTATTTAAAGGAGTATGTGAGATACTTACAGAGCTTGTTGAGCACTCGCTTTCGGGGATCGCAGCATCACCCTTTCTTTCATCTTCCTCCACGCGTGCCATAAGGGCATAGTTGTCTTCCTCCTCCTCCTCCTCCTCAGAAGAATCTTCTGCCCAGTTCTCATTCTCAGCAATCATGGCAGAGGTTTCTTCTTCTTTCTGCACCATCAGCATTTTCTGCTTATTCCACAGCATCTTCTGCTTGTAGAAGTTAACATCTTTCTTCTTTGGGAGGCGGCAGTCTTTGATAACATGTCCAGGCTTACCGCAATTGTAGCATTTGGGAGCTTCTTCTGCTGATGATGCCTTCCTGGAAGATCCTTGATCATGGTTCTTCTGCTTGTAGTTTGAGGAGGAAGTTCTCAGCTTGTTGGAGGAGTTGTTCTTCTTAGCAAATCTTTTGGCAAGCAGTGCCATCTTCTTCTGTAAGTCTGCTAGCTCAGCCTCTAGATCAGATTTGTCATCATCACTATCATCATCATCTGATTCAACCACCTTCTTCTTCTTTTTCTTCTTTAGTGAAATGGTTGTCCTTCTTGGCTGAGCCTCCATTACAAGAGCTAAGGGGTTTGTGGTGTGATGATCCTCAGCACAGGCAACTTCATTGACAAATTACTTCAGATGTTCATAGAGTGTGCAGAGGTCAATTTCGTCCAAATCTATCCGAGATCTGACATCCTTCACTGTCTTTTCCCATACAGGATGCAGACTGGATAAAAATCTAATATTCAGTTCCAGATTGGACCTGAATACTTTGATTTTTCTGAGTTCATTTACCAGTTGAATGAGTCTGTTGTAAGTCTCATTCAATGGTTCTCCTGGACCTGCTTTGAAGGAGTCATAAGCGATAAGAATCGTAGTCTTCTTGGTTTTGAGGCTGATGCTTGTGCCTTGTAGCAGCTTTTCTATCTCATCCCACATTTCCTTAGCTGTTTGCATGCTGTCTATGAGAACATATACTTCATTTGGGATTGCTTGAAGAAGGTATGTTTTGGCCATGAGGTCACCACGAAGTCTGAGCTTGTCAGCTTCTGTGTATTCAGATGGCACTTTCCTCCTTATTTCTGGAAAAATAGGAGGATTATTTTCTGGATCTCCACCAACTGAAATCAAGAGTTAAGCTGGTCCTTCAAGCAATGATTCAAGCATCGCAGCGGAGTTCTCTTTGTGCTCGAGGAAATTAAGGAATTTGTTCCTCCACATTTGGTATTCTCCCTTCCTGAGACTAGGAGGGGTACTGCTGTTCCCTTGAGCATTGTATTCTGAGGCTATTGCTGTACTAAACTGACCATTCGAGAAAATTGATCAAAAGATTTTCAGAGGCAGAAAGTCGAAAAATCAGATGTCGAGATCTGAATATCGAAATCTCAGATTTCGATAAAGGAGGCCCGGTATCGAGATTTGAGCTCGAAATTAAGGATCTCGAGATTAGGGATCTCGAGATTTCAAATTTCGAGAAGCTGATCTCGAGATTTGAAATGTCGAGAAGTTAAAACTCGAAATCTTAATTCTGAGAAGTCAAATGTCGAGACCAGATGTCGAAACCTTAACTCGAAATCAAGATCTCGAAATCCTAGATGTCGAAATCCTCAATGTCGAAATCCTGCAAACTGTAAAAATCAGATAAACAAAATCTGAAGGTAGTTTCCTGTAGAGTAGAATGTCGAGATCCTCTGGTAAAGTTTTCAGCTCGAAAAACGTAGCAGAACCTGTGAAAAAGCAAGATGTCGACAACCCCTACTCGAGATATCTCGAAATCTGAATATGCGAAAAACACAATCTGAAGTATACCCCTTGATCGCTTTGAAAAGGCGATTCTAAAGGTGTAACTTTTACAATTTTTGAACAAGAAACAAAATTACAGAGCAAAATATCGACAGTAAGAACAACGTAAACAAAAACAGAGTATTCTGCAGGAGTTCTTCTGATCGGTTCTCGATCGGCTCTGATACCAATTGTTAGTCCCTGTTTCTGTAACAGCAATGAATAACGATCTAACAACGAAGAGTAAACGTAAGGATGAACACAGAATGAATCAACGTAAAACCTTCTTTGATAGACCGTGAACTCGTACAACACAAAAGTATGCGCGTAAGGCTATGAAGAATAAGTACGACGTTAACCTATTCCTAAACCTTCGGCTCCCTTTTTATAGGCGAGGTTTAGGTTAGGTGTACAAGGCTTTTAGCCTGTTTATATGGGCCTAACACTTGGCCCGATTTCTATCTAATTCATGCACTAATTAAATACAAGGATTAAACATAAAGCTAATCTATGACAAACTTGATTCACAATTAAATATCTCCAACAGTATTTGTTTAACAATACGAATAGTTAACGAATCATATACAAATATCGAATCGATTTGAGCATAGGTTAAATATTAGTCAAATATTACTTTAAAATAACTTTTCTTATATTTTTTATGTTGTAAATGCATGCTATGACTTAATATGTGTTTTTAGAATTTAAATTTAATGGATCAATGCATTTTTAGATCGTGCACAATATACTAAAGTGAATCAATTATATGATTAATAAATATATATCTATTTCAAACCTTTTGAAATAAACACTAACACATATTAGAAATTATACTTATAATGTGTGAAATAAGTTGATAAATGTGTACATCAAAGTCAAATAACTCTAATTTTATTCTTTCAATTAAATACATAATTATGTGTATTGTATTTGAAAGACATTTGAACCAAAATCTAAATTTGTATTCTATTTTACTACAAATGGACTTGGAATCTGCATGCATACATACACACACACACACACACGCGCGCGCGCGCGCACACACACACACACACACACATATATAGTTACACTTTGAAGGTATTGTTATCTTTTAAAAGTTATTATAGCGTTATTACTATTATTATTAATATTCATTAATATTACCACTATTATTAATCGAATTATTTGATATGATTAATATTCGAATCGAATACACTGATATTCATATTTGTATTTGATAACAACTCGAATCAAATTTAATATTCTTATTTGTATTTGAATTTTCCGAATTCGGATTGTCTTATACGAATTCGAATCGTGAATCGAGCACAAATTATTTGATTCATTTACAACCCTAGCTAGGGGTGCACAAGTTGTACACAACTTGTACACAAAATGTCGGTCACATACAATTGGTACGAGTTGTCTGTGAGCACAGACAAGAGTTGTCTGTGAGCACAGACAAGAGTTGTCTGTGAGCACATACAAGAGTTGTCTGTGTACACAAACAACTTTTGTCTGTATCCACACACATTAATTTCGTGTAAAAAAGTACACTAAAAGCCGCCTGACACGAGCTTGCAAATCAATCTAAATTTGTGTAGTGCATGTGTGCACAGACAATATTTTCCTGTTGCACAGACAATTATTTGTCTATGTGCACAAACAATATTTATCACACAGGTAATAATCGTGCGACTCATGAACAATAGTTGTCGGTGTGATCAACCACTAGTACAAAAAAGGCTTTTCACATCGGTCAAAAAAGGCTATTCACATCGGTCAAACAACCGATTTGGTTCGAGCCCATGTGAAAAGTATTGACTTTTCACATCGGTCAATGAACCGGTGTGGAAATTCTTTCTACATCGGTCGTTCAGTGCTCGATCTAGAAGATAGTCCAAAACAGCGTTTTAAATGATACTTCACATCGGTTATAACCCATGTAGAAAAGCAATCACATCGGTTATTTTAGAACTGATATAGAAAAGCTTCAAATTTTCCCGGAGCATAGGTTTTTCACATCGGTTATAACCCATGTCGAAAAGATTTCACATCAGTCATTTTATCAACCGATGCTAAAAGCTTCATTTTTTCCGGAACATATGTGTTTCTTATCGGTTATAAACCATGCAGAAAAGCAATCGCATCAGTTATTTTACAATTGATGTGAAAAGCTTCAATTTTTCGGTATTTTTCAGGAAAAAAATTGCAACATGACCCCCGTTTATACTATAATCACATCATTAACAGTATCATCAACTACTATAGCACAATTTTTCACCTGTTCACTTGATCCATCTAAAACAAACACAAGCTATTTTTCAATTCTTCCACAAATGTTAACACAAGTTCAAGTAACAAATTAGTACATAATAATAAGCTAAAATAAAACAATCCTTGCACAAGTATAGAGTAAAAACACATTGTATAAAGTTACAAGTCTCATCGTCACTCAAAAACTTAACCAAACACGTTCATCATGTGTCGTTGATGGATTGCGTCATTTCTAAGAAATATGATGCCCAACGAGTTCATACTTCATCAATCTCTTTTGATGAGAATGGTTCTGGATTGACAAATCGCTACAAATTAAATAAGAAGGTTATGAAAAAAACATTACATGGAGCAAACCTATTGAATGTAAATAAAATAATAATGTACCTCATCTCACATTTCAAGAATTACCGCCGAAATAATATTCAACATATGCAACATCACATAATAACCACATTCATAACTCCCAACTTGCATTCGAGACTACGAGTTAGAACAACATAATTACTAATCAGGAATTACGGTATTCGACTTGGTGCTACACAAATGAAAGTAAAAATAACATACAAAGTAAAGTAGTAATTATTTACCATAGGAATATAATAATCCATTTCACTCTTCCCTTTCTTGAGTTGAGCCTACGGTTTGCCTCCATTGCACTGTGTTAACTTTAGTTGTCAGTGTGATCAATTTAAATTGTTTGGGTGAACAAAAAAAGTAATTGTGTGTATATATCCAAATGAATATAATGATGAAGTTGTATGTGTGATCAATTTACATGTAATTTGGAGAGAAAAAATTAGAAAAATAATAAAAAATAGATGAAATGAGATAAGTAAACTGATTTTGTGCAAATAATGGGAAATTGATATAAAAAGGTAGAAAAAGAGAGGAAGAAGAAGGGAAGAAGAAGAAGATGAAGTAGAGAAGATGATCTCCCATATTTTTGTTGAGAATTTTCGAATGAATCGGGTAAAGAGGAAAGAGAGAAGGGAGAGAGGAGAAGAAAGAAGGGAGAGAGAAGGGAGAGGGTGGGAAATGGTATTTTGGGGGGGCTTTTATACGGTGTACACTTTGTGTACCGCTAGCATTTTTCCTTGTAGTAATCTCATCCTCCTCCATCACATAAAATGGTGAAAGAGTAAATGACTCTATTTTCTTAAATACTGTTCAAGTAATTATTACATCAGATGAAATTCTCACATTGTTTCTTTCTGTCAGATTGAACCTTAGATCTCAATCCAATAGTCTTTCTCATCAACCATTGAGATACCCGTGCAGGTACCTTTTTGGTAATCCATATTTCATCACATGATGTTCTGGTCTGGTAGATGTGTATTCTATGTACATTTTGCAACTATCAAAGTTTTATCTAGTGTGGTCTGATTTTTTTTCATCTAGGAATGAAATTAGTTCATTTGAAAAATATCCTTAACAATCTTATCGATCATTTTTTTATGAAACAAGTAAAAAAAAATATTTCACGATCAAACACATGATTTTTTATTTCGAGCACTCGAAAACATTTTGATACTTAAAATAAGTGTGGTTGAAGTTATTTTTATGACTGAAGATACTTTAAAGGGCCAATTTAGCGGCCCAGCCAAATAGAAACGATTGAGAGGTGGGATTTCATCACAAATGAGGCCACCATGCTCCTTATCATCCAGCACATCAAGAAGGTGAAATATCCTACTTGGCTAGCCAACGTTGTCCTTTCCCAAAAGTCATCCACTTTCAGAATGTGCATCGACTACATCGACCTTAACAAAGCGTACACAATGGACTCGTTCTCTCTACCAAACATTGATCAGTTGATGGATGGGACGGCGGGCTATGAGCTGATGTCATTCCTCGATGCATTCTGAGGATACCATTAGATCTTCATGCACGAGGACGACACTGAGAAGACGACGACCATGACTCCAGATGGTTTTTTTGCTACCTCGTCATGGTCTTTGGACTTAAAAACTCCGACGCCACTTATATTACACCAGAATGGTGGCAAAGTTGTTTAGAGTAGACCTTAGTCGGGCGATGGAAGCCTATGTCGACGACATGATTGTCAAGAGAAAGTAATCATCTAGCCATGCTGATGACCTCCGTGAAATCTTTCCTCTCCAAGTCAGCCCAGTGGTCATTCCTTTTTTCCTAAATCATGCGCAAAACGATGTCAGCAAGACGTTAAGGGACGCATAGCTAGGGTAATCTCCCATTGAAATGACGGTGCTAGCCATCGTCTGAATGGTGAAGAAACTTGTGCACTGCTTTCACACGCACCACGTCCACTCCCGTACTCAACAACCCTGGTGCATTGATGCGAAGCCCCCAGCTCTTCCAGAATGGTAAAATGGGCAGTATTTCTGAGCTAGTACCAGATTAAAATAAGCTGAGACCCTCCATCATAGGAAAAACACTCACGGACTTTGTGATAGAATGCACTGCACGGGACACTGCCCCTGACACTTCGGCCGTTGATGAAGATGACACTTGGACTCTCTTCACGGATGGTTCCTCAGTGTTAAAAGCATGTGGGGGTAGTGTGATCCTCATCTTGCCGGAAGGCTTCAGAGCATACTATGTTGTGTGATTCAGCTTTCGAGTCTCCAACAACGAAACAAAATATGTGGCTCTTCTCATCGGCCTCACAATCGTGACTGATCTTAAAGCAAAACACATCCCATAAAATATGGTTGCAAACTGGAATTGAAGGTCAGCATATGAGGCAAAGGAGGGCCGAATGAGGCTACAGAAAGGTTAGCATGGAACTACTCAAGGCATTCGAAACTCGTGAGATCACTCAGATCCCAAGGGATGAGAATGCAGAGGCCGACATACAATCCGATCTATTTTCCGAATCTCAATAACATATCTTCAAGATCGCAAAGGTGGAGGTACTCAGCGTGTCTGGCATTCACGCCAGTCCCATCCTTATTTTATTAATAAAAGATATTTTAACTTTTTCGGACAATTCAATAGCTTTATACACAATTACATTAATTTCCATAATTTCACCATTTCAGTTAATTTTTGTGTTACCAAATGGACTATTGACCACTTTAATGTTCATTTCATATTTTGGAGTCGTTTTTCTGCCGTTGAAGTAGTGTAATTCAATAGGATCTTAATCATATACTCGTAGTTTAATACTTTTTTCAAATAAATTTCTCTACATTCTCTTTTATAGCTATGATGTCGCATCTTGGAAATATTACATGACATATTGGCGTATACTATAGGCAAATTAGATGGTACACCCGGTTATACCATGTGCATGGTACACCTGAGTAAAATTTTAAGTACTTTCAAGTTTGAGACTAATGCATTGGCACACAATGTGCGCCTCTCACTTCGTTTGTCCTGTTTGTTTTGCTTTCTTTTTGACTTGTGGTCCCAAATTTTCTTCTTACCAACTTCTTTCATTAATTTTAATTTATGAAAATGTGAAATATAAAATATGGCTTAACCTCCTAGCTAGTTTCTTTTTTATTTTCTTTTTCTTTTTCTTATCAACCATCCTTTAATTTATAACTTAAGTATTTCTGTCGATTTTGTATCGATGTTTTAGGTATCTACGTTTTTTCTTCTAATTTAAACTTTAAGATTAGTATTTATTAATTTAATAAATTTTGGGTGTCAATAATGTGTGTTAATTATTAACATGAGTTGTGTATTATACTAAGATGAATATATTGTTCAAAATAAATGTGCATGAGTAAACATTATAAAAAGAGCACGATTAATATTTTGAATTCAAGAACGACATATTATAAATTACTTGAAACTAAACTTTATTATATCTATCATTGTTATATATAATGGTAGTTTAGTAAATTGTTAATAATGAATCTATTATATGTGCATAATATAGGAATGAGCTTCATGTTAAACTCTAATGAATATAACGCTTAAAATAAAAGGGCACACACAAACGAATATTTGAGCACATTGGAGATTTGAAATGATCTTTTGAATTTTTCGATACTTATTTTGTATGTAATGTATACTCATTCGGTATTGGTGTTATGTTCATTTCAAAATGTCATATCAATGTCGACTAAACTCACACAACTAGATTGGAGTTTGTCACATAATCACAATGCTCAATAGTAGAAAGTCTGGAAACCATGAAACTCAATGGATATGCTTTGATGCTCAAATGAGCTTTGGAAAATTTTATACTTTAGCATTATTATATCATTATCATATATAATATGCTTTTATACTCTCAATAGTTCAAGAGACCGTTTTATAACCTAATATCTAGTCTATTATACGAACTTTTTGTGTGAGAGAAAGAGACACATAGTGTGGAGTTATACGTCTCTACAAGAACAAATACTTTATTGGATCAAAGTACTAGTTTTCTATGAGAAACCTTAATTTTTTTGAAAAGTGAAGATAGATTTTGCTTTTAAGTTTGCGCACTTTACTTTACATTTCATATACATGTCTTGTTATTTTCACAAAAATTATAATGTTGTGCATATCATACTTGGCGGGTCTACCCGACCGAGTTCCGAGACCTGTTGGGTCTGGGTCCAAATTTTCAGGGCCGGCAGGTATACGGGACAAGTCCGGGTCCTTTAGTAATTTAGTGGGGTTGGGTCTAGAACACTACGTTCCGCCCCAGACCCGACCCATTGACAGACCTATACACATGGTCTCGATGCTCACTAGTCGAGAACATGATATTCAATGAAGAAGTTTTGATGCTTAAATGAAGTTTTAAAATTTTGAATACTCGATTTGAGAATTTCAATGATCATACTCATAATTTTGATGCTCAATAGTAGAAAATAATATACTTAGTGAAAACGTGTTTTTTGCTCATATGAGGCTTTTAAATTATGTATGCTCAATTGTAGAGTTCTAGTGCTCAATAGAAGGAGCTTGATTTAAATAAAAATGTCTTGATGTTCAAATAGCAGATATTACAATTTTCATATCAATACATATCTTAAAAATACTACATTACATTAGATTCACATATTGAAATTCGTAGGAGTTGATTATAAATATAACTTAATAAGTTTTCATAAAATAAAAAAAGAATTAGAAGATATGAAACATATATCACAATGCTAAAAACTAGACTTCTAATGCTCAATCGAATAAGTCTCACGTCCACTAAAAATGCATCAATGCTCATTCAGCGAAATCCGTGATTTTCAGTCAAACTACAAAAATGTCACCAGTTGTACGATGTTTACCGTACCATCGGTGGTACAATATAGGGATGAGTCAAACTATGGCAACTGATCGGCCCACATCACAACTTAAAATGGAGTTGAATTAAATATGAAAAATGTGTGGTGCACACCAAATGTGTACACCTTTCGTGTACACTGTCTGTCCCCAGCAGACAAGTTGTCTGTAGACAGACAACTTGTCTGCTGGGTCTACAGACAACTTGTCTGCTAGGGACAGACATGTGTACACAAAAGGTGTACACATTTGATGTACACCAAGCAAAGTTGATTTGATATTCAACCTCATTGAAGGAGTATCACAAAATCTCACCGGCACAATAAATACTTCGACATCACTAAAGAATGTAATTCCTAATGACTTTGTTAGTTTACATATTAAAATTTGTATGCGAAATGATTGGATGTAAATTTTAGTGATGTGTACTCCCCCGTCCCAATTTGATAGTCTCATTTCTTTTAGGCACAAGTTTTAATAAAGTGGTTGAAAAGGTAAATGGGCCCAAGGGCCAAAACGGGCCTAAATAATACTTTTTGGCCGAAAGGCAAAAAAGGACCTAAATAATACTCTTCCAATAAGTGCCCTGGTACGGAGCTTGATCAGTCCCGGGGCATTGTCATGAATCCCGGGGCATTGTCATGAATCCTGAACAGTAGTAGGCCGGAATAATATACCTCAACTTATTTTTTATACGCATTTCAAGCTCGTATGGTGAACTCAATTTACAATTCTATCAATAAACCTTTTTAAAAAAATACATGAATTTTGATTATGAGGAATACATTAAGAAACAAAATATAGAAAAATGAGAACGTAAATTTAACCGAATGTAATTAAGTACTCTTTCTGCCCAATTTTACCTTTCCTATTTTCCTCTTTGAGTCGTCCCCAAAAAATAATAGTATGAGATAAACAACATTTTACTTTTTCAATCACTTTATTAATAATTATGACAAACTAAAATATGACTCATAGAATAGGAGGAACGTAGTGATATATTTTGAATTTAATTTGTACCTCCCGTTTTACTAAGAGTTCGTTTGGCTAAAGTTATTGTAGAGAATCATTGTAGCTATTTAAATATTTTTCCACAAATCAACATAATCAATCAATACAACCACTTCATCTAGAACTTTATACTCCCTAAATTTTAACAAAATCAGTTAATAAAACCCATTTTGTATTACCAAGTGAACAAGTACAAATGGAGAAAAGGGAGTAAATGCAACACTTACAAGTGCAGCAATGGCTGGATAACTTACCCGCACGGGTAGCTCAATTGGTTCAGTGGTGGAAAATTTGGATCAAGTGACCAAGGTTCGAAACCTGCAACGACCGTGTGGAGGTCACAGAACCTGAAATAAGGCTGGACGGGCCTCTGGTGCGCACGGGAAAAAGACCTACCATCATTGAGCCGACTGAATCACCGTGATTAAAAACCTCCCAAAAATCCTGTTGGGTGGGGGAGATTGGAGGACCAAATGGCCGGATAACTTATGATAAAAAAAGGCAATGTAAAATAAATTACAGCGTATATGAAGAAAATAAAAAATACGGAGTAAAACGAGAGAGAAATGGCAAGTATAGCAAGTACTGCAACTAGCTGTAATGCTGCAGGCCTCGTTGCAGAGTCTTGGCAGAAGCTTTTTTAACTTTTCTCTCTCTCCCCTCAAATAATTCTCTCTCCTTCTGCAATCTCCACAGAGATAATAATACTCTTCACTCCGTATGTGTATGTAAATATACTTCTCTCTCTATATTTAGCCGGTGCATTTTAGCATAGCTGTATAGCTTCTCTGCGCTCTGCATAATGATGTGATGGAACAACGCCGTACCCCTTCCCTCTCTAGCTCTTAAGCTCACTTCTTCACATTTTCTTTCACAGTTCTGTGTATTTATTCATTCCTTTTCTATCTCTCTCGCTCTCCATTCTTTTATACCCAGTGGTCTCATTTATCAATGCGGGTAACTCCAAGAAACAGAGGATAAACCAGTGCCTGTGTATTTGGACGAAACGCTGTCGTCTTGTGTGCAATGTGCTTTGCTGCTAAGCTTTTATAGCTGGTCACCTCTGCGGCTCTGCTTCTTCTCTTCAAACCCAGTATAGTACCCAGTAAAGACTACTCTTTTTCTATTTTTGGGTGCTGAAAAATGGTGGGAGCTCCGCTTGGAAGCCTTGTTCTTGCGGGTTTCTTGGTGATTTTGAGCTTATCGTCTGTTGAGTCAAATGACGGTGAGTGTAGGTACCCTTTAGTGTGGTGTGGGGGTGTGTATTATTTTAATCATTTGTCTTGATTGTGAGGAGTTTAAAGAACATCCCATTGTTTATTCTTCCTGGCTTTCTTATTTTAATGAGGGGTTGACCTTGTTATGGTTAATTACATCATACTTTGTCTATCATTACTCTTTTCTTGTTTTGTCTTCTTCTGCTCAATTTCTAACTTACCTACCACTAATACCGGCCAGCTCAAAATAATGCTTGTGTTTTTCTGTTTTTTTTGGTAGGGACTACGTTAATGGAGATTAAGAATGCTTTTAAGGATGTGGATAATGTGTTGTATGATTGGACGGACTCACCTTCTTCGGATTACTGTAGTTGGAGAGGTGTAAGCTGTGACAATGTCACCTTCAGCGTTCTAGCACTGTAAGTAACCTAGTATCTGAATATTTACCCCTTCTAGTAACCTAGCACTGTCATAGTAAACTTTAATTTTTCATCTTTACCAATTTTAGAATTAATATATCCAATTCTGTTTTTGGTTTCCCAGTAGTTTCACTATTTCTCATTTCGCTGAACAATATAATCTACCACTAGATTGTGTTGGACCGTTGGAGATGTTTGGAAGGTGCCTATTTTGACTTTTTGTGTTTTGCTCATAATGTGCTTTTTGTTTAGAAATCTCTCGGGGTTAAATCTTGATGGAGAGTTGTCTCCGGCAATAGGGCAGCTTAAAGGCCTACTGTCTCTGTAAAGTCCCTTTCCTAGACTTTCATTACGGTTTCTGTTGTCTTCTCTAACTAATTTCAGTAAACATGAAAAAATGATCCATCCTTGATTATCTTGTGGGCAGAGATTTGAAGCAAAACCGTCTCTCTGGACAAATCCCTGACGAAATTGGAGACTGCTCATCTTTGAAGAGTTTGTGAGTCTTAGAATTTTTCCCTATCCCAGTTATTTGAAAGGAACAGAACAAGAAATTAAGTAAACCTATCAACAACTTAATTGGGACTAATAACTAAAAATGTCCTATCAATAGGGACCTATCCTACAATGAGCTATATGGTGATATTCCCTTCTCAATCTCAAAGCTAAAGCAGTTAGAAAGCTTGTAAGTTATTCCCCAACCGTGTTTGTCTAATAGTCTTCCTTATTCCACTCAACTTGAACTGAATTTGGTATGGATTGGCTTCTAGGGTTTTGAAGAATAACCAGTTGATCGGCCCAATTCCTTCAACGTTGTCTCAGATCCCAAACTTGAAAATTCTGTAAGTTTCCATCTTTACCTTTGATTTATTGCCTGAAAGATAATGAGTAATGGAAGGTCTGACTTTATCTTACAGGGACCTAGCACAGAATAAGCTAAGTGGAGAAATACCAAGGCTGATATATTGGAATGAAGTTTTACAATATCTGTGAGTTAAAAATTAAATAGCCTTTCATCAATTGAGTCATCATCATCATCATCATCAATTCAGTGATATTTAGAAAATTTTCATTTTCGTTAAAGGCCGGCTATTGATATTGATCTTATGTTGTGAATTTAGGGGACTACGGGGAAACAACTTGGTTGGTACTCTTTCTCCTGATATGTGCCAGCTAACAGGCCTGTGGTACTTGTAAGTTTCATGGAGTATTTATTTCCCTTGTTTAAATTGATTAGGTGGTTGAAACTTAATGACGTGGAATTTGCTCAAGTTCAAAGAAGTAGGAGTGGCAGTCGGTTAAGCAATGGGTGTCAGTATGTTTTGATTAATAGACTTTTGATACCATTACCTGCACTATTACTTTGTTAAATCGTTCATGCTTAATCGAAGTTTCATTATATATGTAATTGTTAAGCATACGATCTCAAAATTTTAAACATGAGCCAAGTAATTTGAACAAATAAACTAAACATAATGGCTGTATATCTAATATTAGCATGGTTGCTTAATTTTGTTATGGTATCAACTATGTTAATATCAACTTTATTTTCCAATTATTAGCTTACATTTTCTGGTTAACCGAAATTTCCAGACAATTAAAAGAATTTTGAAAATAACAACTGTATATAATTAACTAATTTTTTCATTGCCGGTTAACTAGAAAAAGTCACATAAACTGATGTTTAGTGTCCCACCACTACCACGAACTAAGCAAAGTTGTATGGTATAGAGGAGGTAGCATTTCCAGCTTGAGGAATTAAGATTTCTGAGTGATCAAGTTTATGCTAAGGGATTCGAACTCCTGATGTTGAGCATAATCTAAACCAGGCCATAATTTCTTACTTTTTTTTGTATGCCATATGTGCAGTGATGTACGAAATAATAGTTTGACTGGTTCAATCCCTCAGAGCATTGGCAATTGCACTGCCTTCCAAGTTCTGTAGGTACCTTGACTAAGAAATGCTGCTAAAATCCCCCACTTCCTGTACTTCATATATATGGTCTAATAAATCACTTATATCTATCATTCTTAGGGATTTATCCTACAACAAGTTATCTGGTGAGATACCGTACAACATTGGCTTCCTACAAGTAGCAACTTTGTAAGCATTACTCCATAATGCCGTTTTGATAAAAGTATTACTCCGTATTATTATGATGCTTTGAAATGTTCATCAACTCACCTTTGAATAACAGATCTTTGCAAGGTAATATACTAACAGGGCAAATCCCCTCGGTCATTGGGTTGATGCAGGCTCTTGCAGTTTTGTGAGTTGTTTTGGAACTTCTTCTATTTTCATTCAACTATCCACTACCACTGGAGTTTCTGAAAAGACTAAGCATATTTTTTATACAGGGATCTAAGTTGCAACATGTTTAGTGGTTCCATTCCTCCAATCTTGGGTAACTTGACTTACACTGAAAAATTGTAAGCATCTCATATCTTCCACCCACTTATCACATTGGCATCTTCACATCTACACAAAGGAGTGTTTTTTGAATAATCATCATTCCCTACTGCTCTAAGCACTTGATATTTGAGCAAAATAAAAGCTGTTTTTTTCTAAATCACGTGTTATCATTTATCATGATTATTATATTGTTCTTGACTGCAGGTATCTGCATGGAAACAAATTAACAGGGTCCATTCCTCCCGAGCTTGGGAATATGTCGAATCTCCACTATCTGTAAGAATGAATTCTATTATCCATTTTCCCTTTCATATATCATGCTAGTTTGTCTCTGGATCTGATTACTGTCAAACTAGCTTTGCATAGGCAACCGCGCAAATAAGATATTATGACTGGAAAAGAAAGAAATTCATTTTTTTACTTAAAAGTATTAAATTCTATTCGTTTTTGTTACAGGGAATTAAACAACAATAAACTTTCTGGCCATATACCACCAGAACTTGGGAGGCTCACAGAACTGTTTGATTTGTATGTCATGTTCCTCTTTTTATTGTATTTAATATTTATTGAGTGTTATGGCATGCCTATGTTCATGTATGCCTTGAAAATGCAGAAATGTAGCAAACAACCTTCTTGATGGCTCCATACCCGATAATCTCAGCTCCTGTAAAAATCTTAACAGCCTGTAAGAAATCAACCCTGTTAATGCATCTTGAAGAATTGAAGCCAATTCTAGAATTTAAAAGTTACCTGTAGTATTTGTTAAATCATTTTCTGGCTACAGCAATGTTCATGGAAACAAATTGAATGGGACAATACCACATGCATTTCAGAAGCTGGAAACCATGACCTATCTGTAAGTTAGATTCACTTTTTATTTCACACCACATATAATTGAAGGGTTTTGTCTATTTTTATTTATCTATGGTAATTTATCTGTCACTATTTCCTGATAAAATGTTCACATGGTATTAATGTTTTCTTGTTCAAATGATCAAAACATTGAAGCTAACAATGCATTATGTTTCTTTTAAAGGAATCTATCCTCCAATAGCATAAATGGTCCCATACCGATTGAGCTTTCCCGTATTGGGAACCTTGATACACTGTAAGTTATTTTTTGTAGGTGCTTACTTTATTTGATTTTCTTGTTAAAACTTTAGAGTTTAAACACTTCTCTGTTTGATGTGGATCTTAGTTTCTCTCTTTTTCTCTTGGATGGCCAGGGACCTTTCAGATAATGAGATCAGTGGTTCAATTCCTTCTTCCCTTGGCGATCTGGAACATCTTCTGAAATTGTGAGTTTATTCACGTGTTGGGCAGACTAGCTCTATTACCTCTCCTGTAGGTATTGTTTTTGTTGACACTGTAAATTTGTTACTGCTGCAGGAACTTGAGTAAGAATGATATCACTGGACAAATACCGGGTGAATTTGGAAATTTGAGAAACATCATGGAAATGTAAGAAATCTTTTCTCTCAATACATCTTATTGAGATGATGATCAAGTTTTTATTATAGAGTTCAGACTTGTATAATTGTATTATCTTACAGTGATATTTCAAGCAATCACCTTTCTGGTATAATACCTCAAGAACTCAACCAACTTCAGTATCTCTTCTTGCTGTAAGTGAGATGTGATTAAAAATGTATCAACTATTTATTTTTTATTATTATTGATTATTATATATGACAGTTGTCTAATCTAAATTCTCATATTCAACGTTTGTTATGTATTGATGATCCAGGAGAATAGAAAACAACAACTTATCAGGTGATGTGATGTCATTGTCAAATTTCCCAGCTCTTAGTGTTTTGTAAGTGTTGAATTAAATCAAGACCTGGCTTTCATTTTGCCCTTTATATGACATTGTTGTGTGACTAATTTCACGTACTGGAATTTCGTAGAAATGTCTCATACAACAATTTAGCTGGGAATATACCAACGGGGAACAACTTCTCAAGGTTTTCACCTGATAGGTACAGACTATTGTCAAGTTTGCTTGGCCATTCAGTTTCTTTGTCAAACTTGTGTAATTATTTGACTCATCTTATCTTTAGTTTTATTGGAAATCCGAGTCTATGCGGATATTGGCTAAAGTCTTGTCAAGAACCTCATCAGAGAGAGCGAGGTGAGGATGCTTCTAAGGATGTCACAAGTTCACCCCAAATGACTAATTTATCATTCTCCTCATCTCATGTGCTTTCTCTGTTTAATGGCAAAATGCAGCCATGATCTCTAAAAGAACTATCCTTGGTATTTCCTTTGGCGCCCTCGCTATTCTCTTGATGATCTTAGTGGCAGCATGCAGGCCACACCGTCAAGCACGAATGGAAGACTCTATTGATAAACCAGGTAAATTTTCTTGCATCCTGGTCTTAAATTCTGTAGATTGTCGTCATACTGCAGTTATAGATGAAAACTAAGAGCACATTCTATTAATCATTTATTTAGATTACTGAGTCATACATAAATGAAACAATTATCAATCATCTAAAAATGATTATTGAGTTTGAAAATTTTCTTTATTTTACCTCAAAATTTATTTCTTCCTTTTCCCACAGTATTTTTTGGGTTCTGGCTTCTGAGCGCAACTAAATTCATATAATCATAGGCACTTATCAAGTGTATAACCAGAGGAGAAAAGTATTTAGAGAGCAAGATGAGGGAATTTGGAATTGTAGACTCATTTCTTGGCTTGGTTAAAAATGATGAAGAATTTCACTATTTATACTAAGCCAAAATTTAAGTTAAGTAATACAAATCCAAGTTTTATCTTTTTGCTTTGTGAATAATTTCCTCTTGTGTAGATACTCGCAACTCATCTAACCATATTAGCTGCTCTGAAAAATTCCCTCCCCAAGAAATCCCAACAGCAATAAAATATGACCAAAAATTCAGCTAATATGGTACCTTGTTTATGTGCAGTTTATTACTCGTCCCCGAAGCTGGTTGTTCTACATATGAATATGGCACTTCATGTTTATGATGACATTATGAGAGTGACAGAAAACCTGAATGAGAAGTACATAATTGGTTATGGAGCTTCAAGCACTGTGTATAAATGCATGCTTAAGAACTGTAGACCGGTTGCAGTTAAGAAACTGTACTCTCACCAACCTCAGAGCCTAAAAGAATTTGAGACAGAGCTCGAGACAGTTGGGAGCATAAAACATCGTAACCTGGTTTGCCTGCAAGGGTATTCCCTCTCTGCAGCTGGCCATCTTCTCTTTTATGACTACATGGAAAATGGCAGCCTCTGGGATTTGCTACACGGTCAGTATACTGTATACAAGCTGACATTATCATAGCACTTTTATGGACTTGTCAAGCTATGTTTACTAATCCTTGCTGATAACAAATGTTACTCTGCAGGGCCTACTAAAAAGAAGAAGCTTGATTGGGCCACTCGTCTAAACATAGCTTTAGGTGCAGCAGAAGGGCTTGCATATCTTCATCATGATTGTGACCCTCGTATAATCCATAGGGATGTTAAATCATCTAATATTTTGCTAGACAATGATTTTGAGGCTCATCTCACGGATTTTGGGATTGCAAAATTTTTATGCCCATCCAAGTCCTACACTTCGACCTACGTAATGGGAACAATTGGTTATATTGATCCTGAGTATGCACGCACTTCCCGTCTCACTGAGAAGTCGGATGTATACAGCTACGGAATTGTACTGCTTGAATTGATGACAGGAAGGAAAGCTGTAGATAATGAATCCAACCTCCATCAGTTGGTTAGTTCCTTTTTCCAACTTCTACATATATTAAAATCATTTGTCTTCTAATATTCTATATCTCCTTGAAGTCTTTTGAAGGCTTTTGGAGTAGTACATCCATGACGGTTGAATATATAAATAATAATGAGCCAATTTATATAAACACAGTAATGCAAATATAATACCTTAGACTACCCTTAGGTTAGCTCTTTGGGATAGAACCTATGTTTAATTTTGTTTAGGCTTGCTATACTTGATAATTTATCAATTTTAAGATGAAAAACCTTATGTTTCATATTAGGAAGGTGCTTAGTTGTTGGATTGCACTAGATAAGAGTGATTATGTTGTTGTAACTTTTCCTGTGTTGCAGATCCTAACAAAGGCTGCGACCAATTCAGTGATGGAAACTGTGGCTCCCGAATTATCAGAAACATGCAAGGACCCTGGAGACATTAAGAAGGTTTTCCAGCTGGCCCTTCTGTGCACCAAGAGGCAGCCATTTGAAAGGCCAACAATGCACGAAGTCGCTCGTGTACTCGAGAGCCTAATTCACCCGACAGAACCGAAGAAGTGTTTGAGCTCAACCACAGTGCTGCCGGCACAATGCTACAAGGACGAGTACGCTAATCTCAAGAACAACCCCCACTTGGTAAACTATTCCTCCATGAGCACAGCAGATGCTCAATTGTTCCTCAAGTTTGGAGAGGTGATATCCCAGAACAGCACTTGAATACTGAATAGAGTGAATTCTGATCACCTAATCAATGCTGTAAGTTTTGTGTAAAGTAGTTGTTTGCATGCCAGTATGTTAGCCCTCCATTAGAACATGGAGATTTAGTGTAATTTTGGATATTTTCTCTTGACTTGTGAGGTAGTTGACAAGATGAATGATTGCATTAACTTATTATTGTACTTCGTATATAGCTTTAATGGCTGGAGGACCACATATTACTTATTATGTTGACAGCAACTACTGTGCCCTTTTTTGGGTGGTGCAGATTCATAATGAGTTTTGGTAAGGGAGTGATTCCGCTTCTTTTAACTGGGTTTAGTCCGATATGTGGTCCAAACTCCAAACATGTGCAATGATTTACTACCAAGTATAAACTATTGACCAGTGTATAAACTATAAACTATAAAGTAAGTTTTCTACCTAACATTATGTGAATAATAATTAATGGGATATTGTTGGTGGAAGAGTATATACATTATCATTGAAGAATGCATCTTTATTAGGGAAGATTAGAGTTTTCCATGGATGTTATCACAAGTCTTACATAACTCTACGTAATTTTTTTTTCAATCCCTGTTTTGTTGAGAAGCAAATGAAAATGGTGCATGCTTTTGTTCTCCTTGAGACCTCGAAAAGCAACACATATTTGAGTAGTAGATGAAATGGCGTTTTTGTTGTCTCGCTAAAACCTTGTGAAGCAATACAAATCACGGAAGTAGGGATGCACATGGTCCGATCACGGATTAGCATGTATTTGGAGAATATTTGGGATCCAAACACAATTTAGGTGTGGACCGGTTCCGGTTCGGGCCTGGGCCCGGCCGGGCCTCGGTTCATGAAGGGGAGGCCTGGGTCCAAGCCGGGCCAGTAGGGGTAGACTCGGGCTGGGCCAACAGGCTCGATAAACCGGTTGGTTGGCCGCTTCGGGCCACCCGGCCCGATGGGATGTCGGTTCGGGCTCGGGCCCTTCAAAAGGTGAACCGGCCCGGCCGGTTCGGGCCTAGGGGTGGACCGGTTCCGGTTCGGGCCCGGGCCCGACCGGGTCTCGGTTCAAGAAGGGGAGGCCCGGAATCGGCCCGGGTAACCCTCGGGTCCGGGCCGGGCCTCAGTTCTATTTTTTTTTTTTTGGCTTTTCCTAGTTAACCCCCAACCCTCCCCCTCACCCCAAACCAACCCTAACCACCTCAAATGGCCCAAAATACCCAGCCCAACCCAAAAACTTTAAAAAAAATCAAAAAAAAATTGGCCCGGCCCGGGCCCGAATAGGGGTGGACTCGGGCCGGGCCAACCGGCCCGCTACTGTGCGGGCCCGAACCGGACCGGTGAACCGGTTCCGGGCCCGGTGGGATGGCGGTCCGGGCCTCGTTTTTTTTTTGGCTTTTCCTAGTTAACCCCTAACCCTCCCCCTCACCCCCAAACCAACCCTAACCACCTCAAATGGCCCAAAATACCCAGCCCAACCCAAAAACCTAAAAAAATTAAAAAAAAAATTTAAAATTGGCCGGGCCCGAACCGGCCGGGCCGGTTCACCTTTTGAAGGGCTCGAGCCCGAACCGCCATCCCACCGGGCCGGTTGGCCCGAACCGGGCCCGGAACCGGTTCACCGGTCCGGGCCCGGCCCGAGTCCACCCCTATTCGGGCCCGGGCCGGGCCAATTTTTTTTGATTTTTTTTTAGTTTTTGGATTGGGCTGGGTATTTTGGGCCATTTGAGGTGGTTAGGGTTGGTTTGGGGGTGAGGGGGAGGGTTGGGGGTTAACTAGGAAAAGCCAAAAAAAAAAAAAAAACCGAGGCCCAGCCCGGACCCGAGGGTTACCCGGGCCGGTTCCGGGCCTCCCCTTCATGAACCGAGGCCCGACCGAGCCCAGGCCCGAACCGGAACCGGTCCATCCCTACGGGCCGGGCCTCGGTTCTATTTTTTTTTTTTGGCTTTTCCTAGTTAACCCCAACCCTCCCCCTCAGCTCCAAACCTACCCTAACCACCTCAAATGGCCCAAAATACCCAGCCCAACTCAAAAACTTAAAAAAATTCAAAAAAAAAAACATAATAAATTGACCCGGCCCGGGCCCGAACCGGCTGGACCGAACCGCCATCCCACCGGGCCGGGTGGCCCGAACCGGGCAACCAACCGGTTCACCGGGCCGGTCCGGGCCTGCACAGTAGCGGGTCGGTCTGGTTCCAGATGCTCAGACCGGAGGGAAGATTTACAATTCCATTGAATTTCATTAAAATCTCACAGATTATATCCAATTCCATTAGTGGTGATGTCCTGATAAATAAGGACATCACCACTCTCTAAATTTACACTTTCCCTGATATGTATTTCTGAAAATGGATTTATAATAAAGCTTTTTAACGACACTAGTATTATACCCGTGCGATGCACGGGACATTAATATATTTATATTTTGTACTACTCTCTCCGTTCCAGAAATTTTTTTCCACTTTGACTTGGCACGGAGATTAAGAAAGTGAAATAAAGTGAAAATATGTGGTTGTAGTTGTGTAAAAAAAGGTGAAATGAATGTGAACCACACAAATTGTCCAAAAATGATAAGTGGGAAGAATTTTTTGGAATGACCAAAAAAGGAAAGTGAGAAGAATTTTATGAGACAGAGGGAGTATTTGGTTATTAAAATATGCTGAACAACCTCCAACTTTAATCTCAAAAGAATTGGGGACGACTATGCCATGCGTGAGACACTAATTTGTTTGGATTTAATAGTTTTGACTACACAAATAAGGTTTTAAAAATGGAACTATATATTCTAAATCATAGAGAATTCGAATCTAAATAAATGTAATCGAAAGTAAGCATAAGTGAGATGTGATATAAAAACTATTTTAAAAAACTCCATTGTACTACTACAATCTACAAAGTACGAAGTTACGAACATAATATTAGGTGAAACCCGTCATTTCCTAAGCATAACAATAATTGGATTGTGCATATTAATTTCTAGGCCGATCCGTATGAACATCAGCCCAGTCCATAACAACAATTGGATTGCACATAAAGTTTAAATTACGGAGTACAATTTAACGTACATTTGAGTGTGGTTTTCGACAGGGCCGGTTAGAGCAATTATGAGACCCTAGACGGTCATGTAGAAATTTTGTTTTAAATATGTTTTATTTAACCCAATGATATAAAAAATAGCAATTAAATATAAGTAAATTACATATAAAATACATCATATACTATTAACAAAGTGAGAATATTCTTCGAAATCAGAAGATCAAAGTTGATGAAAAAATACAAAGAACCCTAGGGGGAGAAGATTTTGTGCTTACATACAACATACCGATCGATAGAGCCGGAAAGTGATTTCATGACCAAATCATTTCTTAATATTTTTCTTTGTCTTTGTACATCTTGATTCATATTTTGTTTTCCAATCATCACAAAACATAAAATCTCATTCAAAATAATACTATCACTAAATATAAGTTAATGGTTCATAGATATAAATTTAATTCACTAAATTTAATCAAATATAAAAAATTATAAGTATGTTCAATATTTCGATGAATCAAAATAACAAATTACAATTTCAATTATTCAATAAGCATTCAAATATATTTAGAATACTCATTATCCTAAATCCCTAGCCCTACTGCCCTAGCCAACAAAGAAAAAAAGGAAAAAGGAGCAAATAAGCACACATACTAACCAAAAAGGACAAATAAGTCCTTGTATAAGAGACTTTGTCCCGCCGTCGCCATTTAGGGCAGTTTCCGGTGGAATTTTTTGATGAATTTTTTTGAGAATCTTATTCATCAAGTCTTGTCGAGTTCATTAAATCTTATTCATTAAATCTCAAACTTTTCGATATTTGAAGTTCAATTGAATTAAAATTTCAGAGACAAATTTTACGTTGACTTGGTTGAGTTATGATTAAGAAATATAGTTCAATTATAGTTTTGATACCCAATCTTTAGTTTAATTGAAAATTTAGAGAACTTATAAAATGCTTAAGAAGTATTTGTTGTTATTCAGGGAATATTTAATTTACTTGTAAACTTACGTGAGTCAATTTTTTTACTAAAAAATAATTATTAGTACTGAACCACGAACACATTATAGTCCATTATCACATTTAGAAGTAATTTAAGTAATCTATTTTTACTGCTTAAGTGTTACATGGTGACTCAAAGTGAGGTAAAAAGAGGATCTTTTAAAAGAAGCCGGAAATAAAATGCTCACACGCAAGTAAACATTATTTTAGGATTTTATGTTTTCTTGGTTATGTAAGGTATACACTATTTATATTATACTCTGTAATACTAAGAACCTTGACATGTATTATTTCTTTTCAAACAAAAGTTAATTAAATATCAGTTTTTCATGTCAATGTCTACTCAATTATAATTTCAAAGATAATTAATCATAAATTCACATGTTTCTTAAACTTTACATTAAATAACAGAAAATGAGTTTACTTTTACTTATAGAAGTCATTTAGACTTAATTTCTTATCAGAATGTGCATAGTTTATATTGAATACGAAATACGAAGTATATTCCAATGTGTTGGGAATGATTTGGTTGTTTCTGAACAGAGGATATCCCCAAATAGTTCTTGTGGTATCCGTCTGCATCAACTATCTTTGCCCTTAGTTCTTCAAACTGCAAAAAAATTAAATCGAAACTTGTTAGACCTACACAAAAAGCAAATGAACTCAACCATATCAATAACAATGAGATTTAATGACATGTTTAAATAATTTTAGTAAGAACTAAAGTAGAAATATACAGCCTGGTGTTGAAAGAGTAAAAATTATCTACTGTGAATTTGTGGAATGATTGAACGTAATGATGCTCACTTGTAACATATATACAGGTTATTGGACAGTTGATTAAGTCGGTTTCAATAGAACTTTGTGGGTTAACTGTCAAATGATAGATCAAGCACGATTACACGTCTTGTTGCTCAGCATGGACATGTAATGTATGCTGACTGGCTATGCAAACATATGTAGTGCCGATAGTTTAGTCAGGTGCAGCAAACTGTATTTTAGGCGGGAACAGTTGGGGACCAGACGATCCCTTTTTATATATATAAAGATTATGCATTCTGCTAAAATGAAAACACATATCCCTTTTTAAACACATATCCATTTGGTCAATCATTTATGAGGATCAGGAATCTCCAACATCCATAAGTGAAAACATGATACTTTAGGGATGGATAGGTCTCATTTCAAAGGATACTTTAGATACCGAAAAAATGAATTAACAAATTTTATCTAATATTTGATTGAGTACATATGAACAGACAAATTTTAAAATACTAGTGAATCACTCCCACGATTAGACATTGAAACAATCATAACTTAATTATAAAAAATTAAGTTCAAATTAAAAAATAAATAAATTGAAAATAATTTTCATGACAACTTACAAAAATAGTATCAACTCTATG